CCGTCTGTCATGTGGGTCCCGGGGGTCGAATTGTAGTACCCTCAGGCTTGCCAGTGAGCACCTTTACCTGCTGGGCTGCGTTTGACTTTCGATTTAGCTTGTTTTTGTTACCTTATTTCCTAAATATTGGCTCTCTCACTGTCATTTTGACCAATTACTTCCTGTGGCTCTCGGACCTGTTCACGTGGATTGGCCTTCGTTCATTTTGTGGGGCATTGTCTATCTAGCATGTTTTACCATCTTCCCTCCAAACTTAGACCATATCGGAACGCACCTGAGACCGGTGTGGCCGTGTGTATAACCACGAGCCTGGCAGGAACAGTGCAAAACAATGCAAATCGTATGTTGTAGCTTGGAACGGCCCTGTTAGATATGGAGCACCTTGCAGTTGATCCTGGGCTAGCGTGGGTTACCAGGAAACAGAATGTGGTAATTCCAGAGTTCCTCTTCCCTGGACTGTGTCACCATGGAAAGAGTGCAACTGCCGTTCTTAGTCTCTCACCAACGTCACAGTGCATCCCCAGGGACACCTAAAATTCATTCAGAGCACTGAGGACCCTGGAACATAGTTGGAGTGTAAGTAGGTTTAAACATTAGTCAAACCAGTCAGTGTGGCTCTGGGCTTCTCTGGTTCCTGATATTGACCCACATTTGAAACTAGAAGACAGACTTCCAAACCTTGCAGAGATGTTGGCATCGTGGGTGAGGTGTGTCTAGCCTTAGATTACTTTCCGGCCACCATATAGACTGCAAACTGTATACCCTGCAAGTAACAGCCTGGCTTTGTTAATAAAGTTTTATTGCCACACAGCCATGTCCATTTGACTACATGTTGTCCATGGCTGCTTCCTCCACAATGGCAACTGAACAGTTTATAACAAAGATCCCCATGGCCTCCAGAGCCTAAAATATTCAGTACCCGGCCTTTTGAGAAAAGCAGCCACTTCAACTTCGTGAATTTAGAGTAAGGATGCTGAAACGATGCGCTGTATTTCTAAAGACAAACTGCTCTTATTAGACTCTGGAATGGCATAGCCAAGAAATAGAACTCTGGAAATCAGTCTGTTATGGTTCATTATTGAATTCAACACAGGAGGTGATGACCTCCAATTACAGCAGGTTTCAGAGGCCCCCCTCGAATCTGTTTCATTAATAGTATCTTCTGATTATTGCGGGGGGGGGGGGGATCAAAGGTACAAAATTTGACCCCTGTGGAATTATTTAGAATCTCAAATATGGAGATGACTCTTACTATTACTTCACTTCAGCACGCCCATGGGCCTGGTAATGGGGAGGAGGGGTATGGTGGGGTATGGCTGAGTGTGTGAACGCTCTCAGACCCAGAGTATGATAGACATTTTCCTCAGAGCCGCTCGCTGGTCCTTAGTAATTGGGAGGACTGCTTCCACCGGGGCAGACAGTGTCAGTGAATAATTGTCCACCCGTGCATTAGAGGTCACTTGATGCTTTTAGCCTTCCTTGGAGGTCAGTCCCCTAAATGTCTAGCACTCTGAATAGAAGCTAAAGAGTCGCAAGACTGACGTCATTGTCTGAACTTCCGTCATGGTGTCGCCATGTAATCTAAAAATCAAAAACTCCCCATTTCACATTCCATTTTCTGCCCAGTATTTATCATCATCGTGTGATTATACTGTAAAATTATCACTCGTGGGCTAGCGAGATGGTTCAGTGAGTGAGAGCACTTGCTGCCCAGCCTGGGGACCTGAGTTCCATCCTCGGAACCCACGTGGTGGGAGGAGAGAACCAATGTCACTGAGTTGACCTCCACACTGGCCATGGTACCCTTGTGCCCACACATGTATGTGCATGCACAAAAGGAGTGATTCTCTGGAAACGGTCACTCTTCATCTCCTCCACTAGAATAGAAGCTGATCCAGTTGCTGTTAGTAATTAATTAGATCTAAAGAAATGATTATGCCTGAGTGTATTTGGCCCATGCTTCTTGGGATTAGAAATCCCAGCAATTGGGATGTGAAGGCAGGATGATCAAGAGTTCAACACCAGCATGGTGGCGCACTCCTTTAATCCCAGCACTTGGGAGGCAGAGGCAGGCTGACCTCTGGGTTCAAAGCCAGCCTGGTCTATAGAGGGAGTTCCAGGACAGCCACAGTTACACAGAGAAATAAACCCTGTTTCACGAAAAGGAAAAAAAAAGTTCATCACCAGCCTTAGCCACTTATCAAGTTTGAAACCAAGATGAGGTGTATGAGGACCATGTCTGAGAAAGTGGGGCCATTGAGGTGACTCAGCAGGGAAAGGCTTAGGCCACTAACCCTGACAACCAGTTCCATCTCTGGGACCCACATGGTGGAAGGAGAGAACCAACCATGAGGCTGTCCTCTGACCTCACACACACACACACACACACACACACACACACACACACACACACACACACTGTATTCGATACTTTTCGGTTGGCTGTGACAAAACACCGTAACCCAGGTAATCATTATGTAAGAGGTTTGGCTGATAGCTTCAGAGGGTTAAGAATCCATCGTGGCAGGGAGGCAGAGCAGCAAGCAGCCGGCGTGGTGGCTGGCACAGGAGGCTGAGCACGCCCATCTTCAAATGCAGGCATGGGGCAGAGAGAGCAGGCTGGAAGTGGTGAGAGGCTTTTACTATTAAAGCCTGTCCCCGGTGACATACTTTCTTCAGTTTCACCACCTAAACCTCACCAAACATCACCACCAACTGGGGACCAAGTGTTCAAATGCCTGAGACCATGGGGGGCATTCTCATCCAAACCATTGCATGCTTGGAAAAAAAAAAAAAAGGGAAATTCAGGGCTGAAAAGATGGGTCAGTGGGCAAAAGCACTTGCTGTACAAGTGTCCTTGGGATCCATGAGGAAGCCAGATAGAATGGGGCGTATTTGTAACCCCAACACACCTAGTATACGATCAGAGGCAGAGACAACAGACTCCCCTGGAGGCTTGTAGACCAACTAGCCCACCTTGGTCAGCTAACAGCTTCCTGTCACTCCAGCTCCAGGAGAGTCAGTACCCTCTTTTGACCTCCAGAGGCACCACACTGATGCACACAAGCTCATGCTTGCACAAATACACATTTACATGTAATTAAAAATAGGAATAAAATATTTTTTAAATGCTAGGAACTTCCAGGTGTGGTAGTGCACATCTGTAATCTCAGCACCCGAGAGGCAGAGGCAGGTGGATCTCTAAGTTCAAGGCCAGCCTGGTCTACATATTGAGTTCTAGGCAAGTCAGGGCTACATACATAGTCAGACCTTGATACATACACACACACACACACACACACACACACACACACACACACACCCTAAAACCATAGGATAAAAGATTGATGGAGGGGGCAGGGCACAGTGGAGCAGTATGGCCAATAATATCATCCGTAAGTCTGCAGTAGGTATCATCTGGAATGTTGCTGAAGAATGAAGAGACCACCAAATTCTTGTCTTTTCTCAAAGCAAATGAGCAAAACCTTAAGCCCCTAGATGTAATCACAGAGAATAGAAAAACAAACTCCACAGAACACAACCAGTGGAACCAAGAGTATTCCACGGGGTTCACCAGCATACGAAAGAAGCAGGGGAAAGAGAGAACCACGCTGGATTGAAAACAGAAATGTGTCAATCAAACACTAACGTGAAAGAGACGTATCAACCAAATGTAGTGGGAACCTACTTTGAATGATGATTTTTTTGTTGTTGTTTGTTTATTTGTTTGTTTTACTGAAAAGGACATTTCGTAAGATCTGAAAGTCTTTCAAATGGGCTTCAGACATTAGAACAAATGCCAAAATTGCTAGATGTAGTAGCATTGAGATCCTATGAGACATTTTCACTATCTCACAGGGGTTCCCCGGGTAAAAGGTTGCCTGACATCTAATTATGATTAGATCTAGGTGCCTGGGGCACCTTAGGACAGGAAAAAGGTGACTCGGGAGAAAGGGGCCTGCAAGGTGGCCCAGTTCAGGGAAAGCTGCCAAACCTGATGACCTGGACACCTTGATACCTGGAACCCACCTGTGGGGGAAGAGAACTGACTCTCCGACCTCCACGTATGCACTGTGTCCACATACGCACCACCACCTGAGAAATGAATGAATGCAATTATAAAACATTAAAATTGGGAAAGGAGGGCTAGAGTAAACAAGATTGATTGAGTGGTGAGGTTTGTTCAGGTTTGGCGACGGGTGCCTGGAGGGCAGTCGTTAGATTACTCTGCAATGCATCACTGCCGTAGACAAAAGGTGGTGGTGGTTGTTTTTAAGCTCGTATGATTACAGATCTTCCAGAGACTCGCTGTTCTGTCATACTGTTAGATGCAATTCTGAGGCGTTCGTCCAGGTGCTGGTTCGGTGAGGACACTCGATTCTCAATAGAACAGAGATACCTCAGCTGGCAGGTAGCGTGCAGTAACACTGGAAATTCTTAAGTGTAGAAAAGAGACGTAAATTGCAGTGGTGGCGCACGCCTTTAATCCCAGCACTCGGGAGGCAGAGCCAGGCGTATCTCTGTGAGTTCGAGGCCAGCCTGGGCTACCAAGTGAGTTCCAGGAAAAGGAGCAAAGCTACACAGAGAAACCCTGTCTCGAAAAAAGAAAAGAAAAGAAAAAAGAAAAGATCATACCATTAGGGTGTCACTCAGCAATAAGTGGATTGACTGTGCTTAGTTTTTTTTCTGCCAGAGGGCTTTTCCTAAAAGGTAATTCTATCCCAGAGCCCACAACCTGGGCAGAACTCGGGGAGCAGGGTTCCCCCTCCAGGACATGTTTCAGTCGACCAGATCGGAAACAGAAAAGACCGCTGTGGAGTGGTGGGGGCGACTCTCCATGACCTAACACCGTTATTCCGTTATGCATTGTGGTTTTATTGTTTTCCTTATCGTGATTTGTTTGTCTCTTCTTCTTTTACGTTCGCTGGTTTTAACCCATGTTCATTTCTCCCCCCCTGTGTCCATGTCACTCTTGCTGTCTTTGCCTCCACCGTTCCCAGGTTACAGTGTAGCCAGGACATGCCCCATCCCTTGGCCGATGAGCATACGCTGATAGCCTCCTATGTGGCCCGTCTGCAACACTGCACACGGTTAGTGGCCAGAGCAGCAGCAGCAGCCGCCGCCCCGGGAGGGAGCGCGGCCAAGGCTGCTCGGAGGGAGGGAGGGCGTGAGCTCTGGTTCCCGGGGTTGCCAGCAGCAGCAGCAGCAGCGCTCTGCATGTGTGGTGTGACTGAAGAGCTGCCAGCTGTGATTGGCAGAGTTAATTGCCAAAGCATTGGCTTCCCTAAGAGAAGGAGCCCGGCCAAGCCTGGCACTCACCTCAGCGTGGAGTTAGAAAGTCTCCTCTACCGTCAGGCACAGTCCCTGCTGGTCCCTGAGAGGCTTGAGGTTCCAAAGCTGGAACATCCTCAAAGGAGACACATTTTTTTATGTCCTCTTCTTGGGCAGTTGTCGTTGAGAAAAATGTACATAGGGAAAGAACTGTTTGGGGCCAGGGAGATGGCTCAGCGGGGAAAGGCCTTTGGAGATGAACATGATAACCCAGGCGGCAGAAGGAAAGAACTAGTTCCTAAACACTGTCCTCCAGCTCCACTGGCATGCCTTCGTAGCCTGCCAACACGCACGCACACATCCACATCACACACAAAATTAAAAACATACATAAATGAAAAGGACTGTTTTAACGGTTGCATTTCATACTATTTCCAATTACCGGTATGACTAAGCAGCAACCTTATTTAGGGGCATTTCCCTCTCCTTAAAGTCTTGGGGGAACAATCAGGTCCTACAAACTCCCAGGTGGGTTTGATGGGCTTCTCCTGTGGGCGGGAGAAAGGAGCTGATAATCGCATGCTCTGTCAGAGAATTTCCCTGTGCACCAGATGGTGTCTGTGTACTTATCCCAGCCTCTTGGTCTCTGAGAACAGAAGTGTTTATCTCAGGCAGAGTAAGTAACGTTCTGTCAGTAAAGGCAGTTGCTCATGGTACTTGAAAGCGTCCGTGGTAACCCATGGTAGCTGAATATTGCAGGGGCTGCTGCTTGATATTTCAGCCCATGAGTTCATGGCAGGTTTAGCTAGCATCCTCAAGTCCCAGATCAAGGATTGGTGACCACTGGTTCAGAAAGAGCAAGAGGAATGGATGAGTACTGCGTCCTCTATGGTCTACAGTCTAAGGAAATGAGCCCCATACTGCCCTTATTCCATTATGCATTGTGGAAGGAACCAGAGATTTCTTGGCTGATTATAAAACTGAAAGTCGACTAGAACAGACAGGTAACAAACCAATGACTATTTTGTTTTGTTTTGTTTTATGGCACTAGTGATTGACCTGGGGGCTTCATCCGTGCTAGAAAAGTACGTTACCACTGAGCAATATCCCTAGCCCTCTTTTCACTTTTGATTGGGGAACAAATTACCCAGGCTGTCCTTGAACTCATTTTGTGGTCCAGACACACCTTGAACTTATGATCCCCTTGCCTTAACGTCCCATGTTGCTCTGGTCAAGTCATCATCATCATCCCTATCTCCCTAAAGCTTCTTAGTGGACATGGTGGCTCATATCTGTAATCCCAGCACTCAGGAGGGAGAGGCAAAGAGGGTCACTGTGAATTCAAGGCCAGCCTGGGCTACAGAATGGAGCCTGACTTAAAAAAAAAAAAAAAAAAAAAAAAAAAAAAAAAAGTTAGCTATATCTGTGGAGCTGATTTTCTTTTATCCGGTACCATATTATCCGGTACCTCATCTGCATGGGTCCTCAGATTGTTACAATAATGGATGAGGCCGGACATAGTGACACACACTTGTGATCCCTGTTCTGGGGAGACTAAGGCAGGAGAATTGGGGTCTATGTCTGGGCAATAGAGAAATAACTCAAAATAACTCATCCCCACCCCTACCCAAAAAAAAAAATGGAGAGGAGGAGGATGGGCTAGTTCACTTCACACTGGACCCATGTATGAAATGAGCATCGTATGGCAGGAGAAAGGATGTTCAAGGGGAAGTCTAGTACCATGGACTCTTTGCAACTTGACAGTCTTCTTGGCCAATCCTGGCTGAGATTCTCCTTTTTCCTTCAGCCAGTATTAGTATTTCCTCAGCCGTCTGTTTTTTGTGATCCCATAGTTTTCTTAAGACCTAACTCTACAAAGTTAGTTTTCCCAAACATTTGGTCAGAAATCCCCGTCTTGGGTTTTTGCAGGGTGTCTTTTTTCAGCCCTCCATTCAGAAAGAAGTTGTCCCTTTGCTGATGTGGATGCCTGGGGATGGTATCTGCAGCCTCATTATTTCCCTGAATCCCCTCATCTGAGAATACCGAATGTCTGTGACCCAGATGTCTACTTGTTGTTATTATCATTCTTAGTCATAAGCCTTTCTCCTTGAGGAACAGAAGAAGAATTAGAGATGTCTAACAGACACCTATTGAATCTTATCTCCTTGGCAGTGTCCTGGACAGTCCGAGCCGACTGGATGAGGAGCACCGGCTAATAGCACGTTATGCTGCCCGACTGGCCGCAGAGGCTGGAAACATGGTACGTGAATGGAGGCTGCCAGGAGAGTACTGGAGTGTAGCGTCATTTGAATAGACATTGAATATGCGTATTACTTAGGAGAATAGTAATTGTGAGACTCATGAGAGGGGGTTGCTGGGGAGTAGAAGCAGGGGGCTGTGGAGGAAGAGAATGAAGGAGCTTTTAACTGTATCTGTAATGTTCTCTTTGAAACACAGATCAAGAAAAATAAGCAAACAGAATCTAGTTACTCAAAAATATCAATACATTCAGTGTAAACTCCTAACAATACCAATCAAGGGAAAAAGAGAGGCAGTACAAATTACCAATGTCAGGAATGAGAGAAGGGACATCACTACAAATCTTACAGAAATGGAAAGAATGAGAAGAAATATTATCTTCAATAAAATTAATAACCCAGCCAGGTATGGGAAGTGAATGCCGTTAATCTCAGCACTCAGGAAGTAGAGGTTGTAGATGTAACTGTCTTGTTAAATAAGAAACACAGAGCCAATGCAGAGATGAAAGCCCAAGAGGTCAGGGTAATAGCTAAGAGCTAAAAACCTTACCCTTCACTGCCACTGCTGTCCTCCTCAGCAAGAGAACTACTTCCTGTGTGTCTTTCTTCTTATAGACTTTCTGTTCTGCCTTCTCATTGGTTGTAAACCCAACCACATGACCTCCTCGTCACTGCCTGTCTGTACAGACCTCCAGGTCTTCTATGGTTGGTATTGAGATTAAAGGCATGTGTCTCCATGCTGGCTGTATCCTTGAACACACAGAGATCTGTCTGTCATGTGATTGGGATTAAGGGCATGTGCTACCACTGCCAGACTTCTGCTATGGCTTGCTATTAACTCTGACCCCCCAGGCAACTTTATTTATTAACATACAAATAAAACCACATTTCAGTACAAATAAAATATCACCATAACAGGTGGGTAAATCTCTGTGAGTTTGAAGCCATCCTGGTCTACAAAGGAAATTCCAGGCCAGCCAGGGCTGCACAGTGTAACCCTGTCTCAAAAAAAATAAAAAATAAAAAATAAAAAGGTTAGCACAGGTGCAGTGTGAATATTTCTTGAAAGACACACACAAATAACATGAAAATTAGCCCCCAAAAAATCAATTAAATGTTAAAGAAATTTAATTCATAATTAACTTCCCACAAAGAAAAAAATCCATACACTGATGACTTTACTGTTGAATCTATCATGCTTAAAGAATGGGGGGGAATGTGAAAAGGCGAATACTCCATGATCAGCTTAATTTATCCAAGGAATGCAAATTTATATACTATATTAAAATGAATCAGTGTAATTCACATTAACAATTTAAAGAAGAAATTTGTGAGATCATTTTAGTAGATGCAGAAAAGGCATCTGACGTAGGACAGACTTCCTCCCCTGAGCAGTGCCTAAACACACAAACCTCACGCTAGTGTCAACCTTTAAAGACTAAATTCTGGAACATTCCTCCCTATACGTCCTCCTGGTCTAATTTTGCCGTCTCTGTTTACAGTTAGTTGCATTAGAAGTCCTAGCCAGTGCAACACGAAGCAGAAACTCTGAAAAGAAGAACAATGGTCTTTGAAAGTAACTCGATCATCTCCAGAGAGTGCTTAAGAACCTGTGTAAACACTTGACGGTAGAGCTACAAGATAAAAATGTCTAAAGAGACTGGGAGTGTAAGACTCAGGGCTGGAGTGCTTGCCCTGGATTCAGTCTTCAGCGCCACCAACAATAAGATTAATAACAATGAAAGGGAGTTAAGACGGAAAGGTATAAAGCGCTGCTAAAAGAAATGAAAGAGCCTATGTCAATTGAGAGGTGTGCCATGTTGTTGACTGAAAGATTTGGTGTTGACATAAGTGTGTATCTTCAGACTGACTTAGAGAGGCAATACCAGTCAGAGGCCCAACAGGTATTTGGTTTTGGTTGGGTTTCAGGAATCTAAGTATATAAACCACCCTAGCTGGCCTCTAACATCCTGGGTAGACTAGGCATGTGTTACTGTGCCATATTCAACAGGCTTCTGTTTGTTGCTAAATTGGCAAACTCATTTTAAAATATGTTTAGGAAACTAAAGGACCTGTCTTAGTTTGGGTTTCTTTTGCTGTGAAGAGACACCATAACCATGGCAACTCTTACAAAGGAAAACATTTAATTGGGGCTGGCTTACAGTTCAGAGGTTCAGTTCATTGTCAACATGCAGGCAGACATGGTGCTGGAGAAGGAGCTGAGAGTTAGTTCTACATCTTGATCCAGTAGAAGTAGAAGCAGTCAGTAGAAGAAGTGTGCCACACTGGGCGTGGCTTGAGCATCTATGAGACCTCAAAGCCCACCTCCACAGTGACACACTTCCTCCAACAAGGCCACACCTACTCCATCACAGCCACACCTCCTAATAGTACCCCACCCTATGGGCCAAGCAATCAAACACAAGAATCTGTGGGGCCATCCCCATTCACACCACCACAGAACCCAGTGTAACTATGTCAGTCTTGAAAAAAGAACAGAGTTGGCAATTGTCACCCTAGGTGAAACCAAGGCCTGCTGTAAAGCTCTAGTAATCAAGAAAGTGAGGTTTTGCCAGGCATGGTGGCACACACCTTTCTAGCACCCGGGTGGCAGAGTCAGGTGGATCTCTGTGAGTTTGAAGGGCTACTCTGGTCTACAGAATGAGTTCTCTGTCTCAAAAAAACCAAACAGACAAACAAAAAAGTGAGGACTAGTCAAAAGATGGGCAGATAAACCAAGGAAACAGGACAGAGTATCCATAAAATAGACTCCCAACAATGACACAAAAGCAATTCTGTCAGGAAAGGGAAATAATTTTTTAAAGATTTATTTTTATTTTATGTATATGGATATATGTATATGTTTTGTTTTGTTGCCTACATGTGTATCTGTGTACTATTCACTGCTCTAGAGGTGGTGCAACCTGGGATAGATAGAGCCGATAAATAACGTCTCATGCAATAGTTTTATTCAGTACATCAGTGTAGTTGGATTTTTTTCCCCTTACTCTTTACTCTTTGGGGGCCCACCACCCAGCTTCTAAATAATCACACAAAGTCTTATTCTTACTTATAAATGCCTGGCCTTAGCTTGGCTTGTTTCTAGCCAGCTTTTCTTAAAGTATCCTGTCTACCTTTTGCCTCTGGGGTCTTACTTTTTTCTATGTCTGTACATCTTTTCTTTCATTTTTATTCTGTGGCTGGCTGTGTGGCTGGCCCCTGATGTCCTCCTCTCCTCCTTTTCTTCACTCCTCTCCCTTCTCTTTTTCTTCTTCTGTTTATTCTCTCTGCCTGGCAGCCCCGCCTATCCTTTCTCCTGCCTTGCTATTGGCTGTTCAGCTCTGTATTAGACCAATCAGGTGTTTTAGGCAGGCACAGTAAGACAGCTTCACAGAGTTAAACAAATGCAACATAAAAGAGTGCAACACATCTTTGCATCATTAAACAAATGTTCCACAGCCTAAACAAATACCACACAACTTAAAATAATATTGCACAACATAACAGACAATTTATACTCTGAGGGTTAAGAGGAATCACATGAGTAAAGTGTCCAATGACAAGGACGAGCTGCATGTGGCAGACAAGCCGTTCACGCAAAACCATGTTTTTCCATTGCAGCATATAAACAAGTAATAATACACAGTTGTAATGAATAATCTGAAGTAAACTCATTCTTATCTGCTATACTTTGGAGGAACACAAAAGCACATCCCAAGAACAATTTTGTGTTTTTGAAGAAACCGAAGTCACAAAATTCTTGTCTTGTTTCCTTGGAGTTTTCTCACAAGCACTCAGAATTCTCCTCACACAACTCCATTCTTGGACCGTGTTCTAGCTGTGTACCATGCATGTGTGGGAAAAGGCCAGAAGAAGGCACCAGATCCTCTGGAACTAGAATTACAGGTGTTTGTTACCCATCGTGTAGGTATTGGGAACTGGACCTGGGTCCTCTTGAAGAGCAATCAGTGCTCCTAGCTGCTGAGGCATCTCTCCAGCCTCCAGATTTCTCTTTTATAAGTTATTGATGTTAGAAACTTGGGGTGGGAGTGCTGGAGAGACACCTCAGCAGTTCAGAGCACTGGCTGCTCTTGCAGAGGACTGGAGTTCAGGTCCCAGCACCCACATCTGGCAGCTCACAACACTCTAAGGGATTCAATGTCCAGTTCTGGCCTTTGTAGGCACCTGCACTCATGTGCACAAGTCCATACACAGAAACGCATGTCCACATAGAACCAAAAATAAAATATTTTTTTACTTAAAAATCAGTCATGGTGTTAATGAAATATCAGGCACAAGTGAAAATAAAAATTTGTGAGCTAGAAAATATGTATAAAAAAATGTCCAAAACTTGAGTCAGAGTGGCTTGTGTGGTAACCCCTGCTGCAAATTTAAGGTCAGACCAAGCTATATAGTGAATTCCAGGCCATCCTGGGGATGTGTAGCACATCCAGAATTCCTGAGCATGAGAATCCAAAGTTCATGATCATCTTCACCTGCACTGGGAATTTGAAGTTAGTCTGGGCTACATGAGACCCCAGCTCAAAAGAGGGAAAAAAAGAAAGAGAGAAAGAAGGAAGGAAAGAAGGAAGGAAGGAAGGAAGGAAGGAAGGAAGGAAAGAAAGAAAGAAAGAAAGAAAGAAAGAAAGAAAGAAAGAAAGAAAGAAAGAAAGAAAGAAAGAAAGAAAGAAAGAAAGATCTCCAAAACATAACACAGAGTTGGATAATGTGAACTAGTGTGTTCAGAGATGGAGTATAGAGAACCAACAGCCATCAAACTAGAGTGTAAACACTTTAGAATTAGGGTTAAAAGCAATGGTTAAAATGAAGAGTCCTCAGGAAGTTCTTCTCTGAGTCACCAATGATAGTGGGAGGCACTGCTGCTTGGTTTTAGAGTGCTTTCCTGGTCTGCACAGTTGCTGACCTCAGTCCCCAGGACCTCAAGAGTAAGAGAGAGGAACGTACTGTTTACAAAGGAGTGGTAATCTCTCCACAGCAGCAA